AGCCATGTGTATTTTAAAAACTTTATCCTTTAATCATTTTAATGAGTTTTCTTTTTTCAATTTTACAAAGAGAGGTGTTACCAGACATTCATGTCAATGTAGTGTAATGTTATTTCAAAAATATGAACTTGTATTGCTCACATGATAAACAGCAATAAGGGGCTTTTTTGAACAACCATTCCGGCAATTAAATTATATTTAACATCACTAACAGTATTTGATGTTTCAATTAATCATTTACAAGAACAGAACAGATTTGCAATAGATCCCAAAATGACCAACTAACTGACCGTAAAAGAAAAGACATACTGTAAAGGCAGTATAAACGAGTCATCAATATCGGTAATGCATCTGAGTGTATACAGTTGGGTAATGGGCCCTAAACTTTATATTTGTTATATTAATGGCATCTGCAAACTCTTACAACTATTGCAGTTCTTGTTCTTTTCAGATGAATTGAAGATTTGATTTAAATATGCTCAGACTCTTTTTCCGCAGTGCTACATGTAATCAAATGTGTTGATAGTTTAAATTAAAAGCAACTTTTTTATGATACAACATATGAAATAATCCTGCCCACACGGAAACCTTCAACTACAATAATACACTCCGAGCAAAACAGTGTGGAACAACACTAACAACACAGCAGAGCATTTTCATTACCACTAACTGCTCATAATGAGTATCGTGCACCTTTCCCAAACTGCTCATCCCTCTCCATGAGACCCATCATCTCGTAAAGCCCTTGCCACTACCACTTTGTTGGTTCAGCACCACCCATGCTCAAAGATACACACCCTATCAAGAGACAGACAGAGAACAAAAAGACACAAATATCATTTAGGTGTTGGAATGTGGGTGCCTTCCTTAGTGCCCGTCTACAGACCACCAGCATGAATGAGGCCCTATACTGTATGTGTCTGCATCTTTTTTAACTTAACTGCAAGCACTGGGAAATCACCCCTCACATTGCTATACCATGCCACTGAAAAAAGCACAGAGGAAAACACTTATCTTGGTCTTGAGGGTCTCTTGCACGAGGATCTTCCAAGGCTTTATGAATAACCCAGATCTCTATGACTTTCTTGATGTCACACACCAACCAGGTGCTGCATAGTGTGTCTCAGGAATAATTTAGTGCAACGGCAGTTCTGCTAAAAACCAATGGAGAATGGAAAACCGTTTTTTTTTTAAACATCAAGATTGTGGGTTTTTGATTTATAGAAAGTATTTTAATCAAAAACAAGTGCTTATATGGGGGTGATGTATCAATGGATTACTATAATGTAATTCTGAAGTATGCCTATGATGCATGGTTATAGTATATATACTGTAGGCTGCCTACACCATGTATTTTAATAAACTACCAGGGATGATTACTGTTTTTAATGAAACCTAAGGAGATGACACAATCTTACAGTGATAACCCTCACCAGTTACTGTAATAAGGAGATAGTTGATGAATTTGAAGCTGTGAGAAATGAGATGCTAAAATGGGCAGCAACCATACAGTTGGCTCTAGCTGCAGCCCCATGTGGATTGAGAGTGATGCATTCAATGTAAGCTAGAATTTTTCCCTGCTTGCATTTCTAAAATGTCCTCATGTCCATTTAATTAACTAATTGCAAGCAAAAGGCTCTCTTGAGATGCACAACTGAATGTGAATGTTTTAGTTTTAGCACCAGGGACAGCACCAGATACAGAACATGGGGCAGAGCATCCTCTTCTCACAGTGATTGTGAGAATACAAAAAAATGGGCATAGGGTTTTTCATGTGACTGTGAAGGGTCGGCACCCACCCACCCACC